CCCCCCCCCCTGAAAAACAAAGAGAGACAAAAAATAACAACAGCAAAAACAACGACCCAACAGCGACAAAGACCCCTACAAAGAAAAAAAAATCTGAAGCCACAACTTCTATCCCCTCTATAATCATCCTTTCTTCTCTCTACACGACTGAACTAAAGTAGCATTGGTGTAGGTCGCCATGGCAGAGCCTTCGTCCGTAATGTGGCCACTGTAAAGTCTGTCGAGAGCAGGTGATTGGGAAACCCCACGGGTAGATCTGATGCTTTATTGCCCTCCGTTTTTTGTCTGTCTGTCTTCCTTACTCCTCTCCTATCCCGAAAATGATCTCCAATGCGTCGATGTGCTTCTCTTCTTTCTTACAAACACAGATTTTAAAAAGCAAGCAATTTGACAAAGATTACTGTCTACATAATGTGCTGTAGTTACCTTCGAGCCTGTCTTCACTGAGCCACTCCTCGGTACATTCTTGAAGCGCGTGGGATTCAAAGAAATTCATATTGAATAGCACGTTCTTATGCATCGAATGAAGGCACTTTTGTATAAGAAGTTGATTTAGCCAAGAAAATGTGTCCTTGGGCCTAATATTTAATGTGTATATTCCCTTAAAGTTTTCTGTAAGTTGAAGAAACTTAAGCATACTTAGTGATACGCTTTTACAAAATGTCTGTTAGTCTTCTTGATCATAATAGTAGGATACAAATCTGTAGGGGCGCTTACAAATTACATCTAGACGGAACTCTGTACATTACGCCGTAAAATCATGTAGCGTGTGGGGCCAAGACATCTGTTGTAGCCATTGTCAAGTCTTTGGGTGGCAGAACCAATCGGTGTCTGTGGTGCAGCGGTTGTAGCTTCTTCACCGTCGCACGCAGAAGTGAGTCTGATTCCAACTTGTCCCTGTCTGTCTGCTAGGATGCTGCTTCCCTCTCAGCCCCAGTAACCTCGCACAAACGAGAAAGAGGTAGCCTGTCTCCCAAACGATCTACATTGTATCGATGGGGAACTCTTTCAATGAAAGAGCGGGTGCTCTATTGTGGTTTGCTCCTTCTTAATTATTAAACACACGTTGCCCTTATCTCTCCTCCTCCTTCTTTTTTACTTTCTTGTCTTGAAATACATCAAGTCTTCGGCACTTTTAAGACCTAATTGTGTTGCAAGTGCGCCCAAATCTTACTAAAACAAACACTTCTAATCTTCGGCACTTACAATGACATACATGTGTTGCAAGTGTCGTAAAAAATTACACTAAAACAAATTTCAATGGAAATCTTGTTGCCAGAACCAAGCCAAAGAGCAGCGTGAAGAGCGACGTCTGGGCATCCTGAAGCCACACAAGTACCTCTTCTCCCTCATCTCACACTATCTGTGCATCTCAGTGGAAGAGGTGGAGGAGTACGTCCTGGACGAAGACGAAGTAAGATGGATTTATTTGGTTATTTAGTATTGGGTCCTCATACCCAACCTAGCGCGTTCCCATGAGGTTGGAAGGGGAAAGGCCTCCAGATATGGGACTTAGCTGCTATGCAGTCGCGAACCTAATGGGAGACGGTCGTGGAGAGTAGAAGAGAACCATGGTGGCACAGGTGCTTCAATAAATACCCGATACACTTAAAGAAGGGACGATCTTGGCGACGGGAGGTGCCATAAATTCTACCAAAGCCCCCACTGCCTAGTAGTTTGTCAGTGGATGACAAAGGCTAGCAGAGAAAACTGTACATAAACCGGCAGTAGGCAACTGTAAACCACTGTGTAATATCCCAAGAATAATCAGGGAAAAGATGACTCTCACTGTTAAAAACAATCAGAAAACGACAAATGCAGTTTATGGGACACCTGAATTATAGACATTAAGGTCTTGAACATCTAGCTTCCACTGACAGAATTGAAGTCAAAAGAGGCAGGGGTAGGCCCAGAGCAACCTTCTTAGGGAGTCTAAACAACATATGGGCAACGGGGAAAGATCAGGGAAACGTAGCTCATTTTTAAACAGTATCTGAGCAGAGGAATGAATGGAGAACCATGATCGCCGGTGTCTATCGCAGATCTGGCACTGGATGATGATAACTTAGTAGCTTAGGTGCTTGGCTGGAGAATAGGTATCATCGCAGTCGGTACAATCCTCTCCAGGATCCATGAAAGGGTTGGCTTCTTGATCGTTCCAGTTATCGGCTGGTTAGGTATTCTCCTGGATTTTCCTCGAAAGTTGCTGTATCTATCCGAACTTCTTGAGACACCAGCATTTAAGATGGGCACCACTCTCATTCTCTGTACTTCTGTCTGTCTCATCACCTAGCGCCCCCCCCCCCAAATCTGCAAATCTGTTTGATTCCCATGCATGCTATTTGTTTGATAAGTTTTCTGTCGATTTGCTTATTGAAATTAGCTTAAAATAACCCCATTTTAAAGTTATAATTTTAAAAGAAATACAGAGTATTGAAGACACAACTTAAAAAAACACAACTATGCCAGTTTCCAATTTCCAAAAATTAAAAAAACAAAAAAAACAACAACAACCAGGAAACCCCCCCCCCCCTTAAAAAATCAATCAAACAAACCAACAAATAAACAATCACACAGCGACCAAAAACAAAACAAAATATGTGTTATCCCCATCTCATCCCACCCAACGCAGAATTTTTTTCAGTCTGAAGAAAAAGGCAAATGCAGTCGAAGCCTCAGAATAATGATGGATCTGCTAAATTTAAGATTTCACTGTTCAAAGCTTTGATCTATACTCATAATACACTACATACGTGTAAATGTTCCAGTTTTTAAGAGCCCTGAGTCAGTTCTCATCCAAGGATGGCAACCTCTTGGTGTGTCAGTACCAGATGGGACCTGAACTGTCTTTCGAGGGTATGTACACACGTACAAGTTGGCTGTTCTTTTGCTTGTTTGTTTGATTTTGTTATTTAACTTGGAAGGTAAATACTGATGCAATGTGGATGTTTGGAAGACGCCGCTGGAGGTTCTACTTCATTTGTTCTTTTCCTTACCCATCTCTAAAGCCATTGTTGTGTTGATGTACGATGTGCTTCTTTTTCCTGAATACAACCATCGTCATTTTAAAGATCAATTAAAAAAACAACCAACGTCACTTTCACTGTTACTGTCTTTGTCACTGTCACTGTAACTGTTTCTGTCATTGTCACTGCCACTATCACGGCTGTCACTGTAACTATGGGAGGTTGGCAGGTGCTCTGGTGTGGTTTACTTCTTCTTTCCTATCAAACATCTATTATCTTTTTGTGTTATTACTCTCTTGTAACACCTCCGATATTCGACCCTTATGTGACCTTATTGTGTTGCAAGTGCCGTTAAACACTCACTAAACCACGTCACTGTAACTGTATCTGTCACTGTCAGCAGTGCGCTATCACTTCCACCTGTCACTACCTCTGTCAAATTCATACAACAATTAATCTTTTGAATAGCCTCTGGTTGTGGGTCTGTATTTGGTCACATCCCCTCCCCCGCCTCCATTTCAGCCTGCGGCCGTTCCTATGCCCAGATGTCCCAGGATCACCGGGCCATGCGTCTGTTCGTCTCTTGCGGCTCTGGGCCCCGGTACGAGGGGAAAGTTGTGTTTCTTCTGAAGAAGAGCCCGGTGGCGCTGGAGGAGAAGAACGTTTCTGATGTTAGTCGTCTGTGTTTTACATGCGCATACTTTAAAAAAAAAAGAGTTGTCCCGTGTTCCAACGTTGATGCCGATTTTATTTGTAAGTTACGTAAACATGTGTCAAAATGGTACAATGTACAGATTGTTATGCTTCAAGAAAAACAAAGCAAGAAAAATGGGATATGATGATGAGGATGATGATGATGATGATGATGATGATGATGATGATGATGATGATGAGGCTCCTTTCCCTGCTAGTATACACCGCCCGTTTAGTTTTTCTTTCAGTTGCTCCTGAGGAAGCCCAAGAGGTGAAACGTTGAGCTGTGTCTATTAAACAAATCTTAAACATTTTATATTGTAATGTTATTTTGCCAGGAAATCAAACAAGACTCTTCCCCCTACTTGCTTTCCAAACACTGCTGCTGCTGCTGCTGCTGCTGCTGCTGCTGCTGATGATATGATGAAGTTTTACGCATACTTACTTAACTCCTACATTGCTAGGCCTGTGATTGGTGGCGGGTGCTCTGGTGTGGTTTGCTCCTTCTTTCCTTATAAAAAATCTATCGTCCTTATCTCTCCACCTTCTTTTTGTGTTTGTTTCTCTCCTGTAACACCTCTAATCTTCGGCACTTATATGGCCACATTGAGTTGCAAGTGCCGTAAAACGCGTATTAAAGCTGATGACCTGGCTTTACAATCTTAACTCAGAGCGTACATGGTCTCGGGCCATGGTCTCGGGCGAGGCAGTGTAAAGATTAAACATGTATGGATTGTTAACCCTTCTTGTTCTCACCGGCACAGTTTAGATTGTTTTGGATGCTAAATGCTTCGCCCCAATTTTTCAAGATCAGCTCAGGCTGCTAAATGTGTAATTAATTGCTTGTCAACAGGAAAGAGAAAAAAGTAACTTCTCCACTCGGGAAACAAACTCAAAGTCTATGTCGATAGCGCCGTAAAACAACATAGATCTACTCAATAAATTAATCAAACTCACCGTCTTTTATGTGCAGGGCGAATAATTCAACGATTTCATTTCAAACGGCTGTACCAAAATGGCCATTGTCTCCTCTCCTTCCTTTAGGTGTTGGTTACTCTCTTGTTAGAAAGCGTTTAAAGGCACTTGCATCACACTTAGCTCAAATAAGTGCCGAAGACTAGTGGTGTTACAAGTTGCAACTACATAATATAATCGTTGTCACCCATATGAACTGACTGTGTTGCAAGTGCCGTAAAACGCTTACAAAAAACGAAGTATCATCCACTACCACCAGGAGGTTATGTCGGGAGAAGTGTTTGTGACACAACAACAGGGCTTTTTCGGCGCCATGGCTGAGCTGTTTGGCCGAGTGTTCAAGCCGGCGCTAGGCCGACTCAAGAGCCTAGAGACTGCGACTCCCGTCAAGCCGGACCCCAAAAAGTGCAAGATCGTGGAGCATAACCTGGCCATTGACAACTTCACTCAGCACGTCTTGTGTACGTAGATGGATTTTTGTCATGATTTTGAAAAGTTTTAACAACTCCATCTGTACACACTTTTTTTCAGGGCTGGTTTTGCTTAAAATTAATGAGTGCGTACGTTTTGGTCACTATAAAAAAGAAGCATAATTTCGTTATTCATACTGGTTGTTTAATTTTTGTTTTTAAAACCTAAGCTTATCAGACAGTACGAACTACTTAGTTTTGATCTTGAGCAGATAGGTCACATTTGGAAGGAGGGAAAAAAATGAGGAAACTTATTTTTTTTTCTAAAATGGCCAGTCCTCTGGTAGCATTTATGTTTTAGCCTCTGTCTTGCCTTACAAGGTACATTCCACGTGGGTGGTCGGCGGGTGCTCTGGTTTGGTTTGCTCCTTCTTTCTATCAAACATATATCGTCCTTATTCCTCCTTTTTCTCTTCTTGGTGGGTTACTCTCTAGTTAGACCTCTAATCTTCAGCACATATATGCGGGTGGTTAGGGGGCGACACTGGAAGGTCCTAGTTTATTTCCCCCCTGTTGCTACAGTCTGTCTGTCTTAATTTTTAATGACCATTTTGGTGTCGATATGCTTCTCTGTGGGTGGTTGGCGGGCGCTCTGGTGTGGTTTGCTCCTTCTTTCCTATAAAAAAATCCATCGTCTCTATCTCCCCTCCTTTTTTGTGTTTGTTACTCTCTTGTAAGACGTGTTACAAGTACCATAAAACTCTTACTAAAACTAAAATAAATGTACTTCTCTTTACTGAAATAAACAAACGAACAAACGAAAATGGACGAACGAAAAAACGAACAGACGAACACGCAAACACACAAACAAACAAACAAACAAACAAACAAACAAACAAACAAACAAACAAACAAACAAACAAACAAACAAACAAACCCACAGGTAAGCACACAAGCAAGCAGACAAACAAACAAAGCAAACGTATGACCTTATTGCAAGTGTTACAAGAACCCCTCCCCCCATTTCCCCAGGCGCCGAGCAGCACGTCCAGGAGGCCGTACGTCTTGCGGTGCTGGACGACCCGGCAAAGATGGTCAAGATAGATGAGCTGTGTGACGTGGACTCGTGTCTGGCGGCGGCCCAGAGCAAGACACTGCTGGCTGTGGTGGAGGAGATAGCCAGTCTGTGGTGTGGACAGGTCGAGAAGGTAGGTACATCTGTGTGTCCCTCTCAGGTCTGGTAGAATCCTCTGTATCCCTATCAGTTCTGTGTGTGTCCCTCTCAGCTCTGGAAGAATCATCTTTCTCCCTATCAGTGGGTGGTTGGCGTATGCTCTGGTGTGGTTTGCTCCTTCTTTCCACCAAACACCTGTCGTCCTTATCTCCATTCCTTCTTTTTTGTGCATGTTACTCTCTTGTAACACACAATCTATTCTTCGGCACTTATATGATCTTTTTGTGTTGCAGGTACCGTAAAATTCTTACTAAAACTAAACTCTCCCTATCAGGTCTGTTTGCGCCCCTCTCAACTTTGGTAGAATCCTCTGTCTCCCTATTAGGTCTGTGTGTGTCCTGCTCGGTTCGAGTAGGTATCTCGGTGTGCATCCTTCTCAGCTCCTGGTAGAGGAATAGGAATAGGATTTTATGGGGGAGGGGGGTGGGGGGGGGGGGGAGAAAGATACACACTTTCCAATCAACTTCGCGTTCGTAGCTGGAGATACCGCTTTCCAGCAATGTCTGCAATTCGAAGTCTGTCATGGAGATACTGCTTTACAGCACTGAGTCTATATTGGCAAATTTACTAACCCCTTGACAGAGAGCAAAGTCAAGGACAACAGCACCGCAGCAACAACAACGAGAACAACAACAACAACAGGGAGTGAGTTGTGATCGCGCAACATGTAGACTTCTTTATATGCTCTACTCTTTAGTGGTGTTCCTGACTGCTGTAAGTTCTGGATGTTATAAAAAAATATACCATCATAATATGTATTAAGATCTTGTGATTTATGTGATATAGAATTTTCCTTCAAAGGATGACAATTACGAGACAAGATTCAACGTTACTGTGTTGATGGACTGATGAAGTCAGTGCTGGTCTACTTGTTTTGCTCCGTTTTGGTTCAGATCCCCTTTTGCAAAAATGTCCAAAAAATTTTGCAGTGGCATCTCCCGATACTCCAGGAAGCGCGAACGGCTCTGCACAGCCCACGGCTTACCCCCCCCCCCCCCACTCCCTGTCGACCAAACACTTCGATAAGTACCTCTTACGAGACAGGAATGCAGCGTTTGCAGGATGCTGCTCGGGAAAAACGCCGGCCGGTTTCGCTGCGCCGAATCAGGATGCTCTAACGAAGGCCGCATGGACGTTAGATGCAGTTGCATCAGCAGGTGCCACCCCTGAAAAAATGGAGGTGTGCAATCCACTCCGACAACACGGCACCAACTGCAATCCCAATCACATACGACACTATCAGATCTACCCCCCCCCCAGCTATCCACCCACCCCACGGCCCAGAAACCAACCCGAGCGAATGCCACACCGATTGCGTGCGCGTCCTGCACCCAGTACTTTCACAAGCCTAGCATGAAACTAACGCAAACGCCGCTACGGAAGGTAACTATCACTGGAACTGTGAGAGCTGTGAGGTATACTCATCTATCAGAATGAACAGGCGAAACCAGGACAGAGGCGGAGGCCTCATCTCTTGCCTCAAGAATACCCTAGTTTTCGAGCATGTCCGAGACGGGTCCATCAGCGGAACTGAAATATCGATGCCAAGGGTGAAGATTGGGAAGAGGAAATGGGTCACAGTATGCTACATCCAATGTCCCCCCCGCCGGTCTGATCCCGTCGCAACAATCTTCGTGTCTGACCACCGACGACCTCCCAATCACACCCGTGTCCATCATCCAGGGTGATTATAAAGCCCAGTCTCCAGTGAGACCCAGTTCAACCACTGGATGAAAGAGGGGAGAGTCTGCTTAGCTGGACACTGGATAATGACATGGCGGTCATGAACGACGGAACACACGCACGTGTCAACACCAAGTCGAGTTATGACAACCATTCTTATCCCCACCCCACTCCCTCTACTCCACCACATATCCGAGGAAAAGTGCCCCCGATGTCTCTATATTTAGGTCAGCATGGAGCGGGAAGCACCCACGGTGTCCAGTAGACGGAATTGGCAGCTCTGACCACACGCTGATTTTGTGACCCTTAACACTGACGCCAGCCATGGGTCGGTATTCAAGGGTCAGGTCACCTGGAAATCGTTCGGCGTAGACGTTAAGGTTTTCACTGACGCCGTTGAACGTACCATTGTGACGAGAATGCCGCCGAACAGCCACTTCCGCAACATGGTGTCAGAACTCCACACTGCTTTGATAGACACCGGTACCCATATTGTCGGCACTGTGAAACCAGGCAGGTACACACAGACATGGGAATCCCCTACAGTTCGAAGAGCAATCGGGAAGCGAAATAAACTCCGCCAAGAGGTCAGAACCCGCCGAAAAGAGTGGCTGGAGGCGTGCCGTGTGGCACAGGAGGCGATCTGCGACGCCAAGGCCGACGCCTGGCGTAAACTGCATGAGAAAACCACCAACTCGCAGGACGACGCCTAGATGTGGAAAGTCATAAGAAGCCTCAACGGTACCACTGAGAGAAACTCGCCAAATGAATGGTGTCGCACTTGGGGCGACTGGTGACTTCAAGCAAGCATAAGGCGGACATATTATTCGCAGACCACTACGCGAAGGTCACCAGCCGAGGCATGTTGAAAAAAGACAGAGACGAGAACCGGCAACTCAAACAGCGACTGAAAAATCTACAGAACAACCCGGGAGAAGACCAGCTCCATTTCACTATCGCAAAACTGAGGAATGCTGTCGCAAAGATGAAGCCTCTTGGATCACCCGAACCAGACTACACCCCTCCGTCCTTCCTCAAAAACCTGGGTCCCACTGCGCTTAAGAAACTGCTCTCCATCTTCAACATGCCATTTCGCCCAGCAGACGCCCCACAAGTCTGGAGGGACACCATTATTGTCCCCCTTCTCAAGGCCGCCAAACCAACATCGGAACTAACGTCGTTTGGACCGATAAGCCTCACATCCTACGTCATCAAGTTATGAAGAGAATGGTATCTGGACGGAACAGCTGCTTTTCCGAACTGCAGGCTGACTTCCAGAAGGGAAGAGGCGTGGAAGAGAAAGTTCTGAGAATTACGCAGACAATTTTCGATGGTTTCCAAAAGAAGAGAAAATCGGTAATCGTCCTCCTCGATTTTTCAAAGGCATACGACACGGTCTGGCGAAGGGCACACCCTCCTAGACAGAGGTGTCCCAGATAAATACGTATTATGGCTGAATGACTTCCTTTAAAATCGTCAAGTTAGAGTCCGAATCAACGGAATACTGAGTAAGAGCAGGAAAATGACCCAAGGCCTCCAACAGATTTCCGTCCAGGCACCCACCCTCTTCCTCTTATATATCAACGAATTGGTGAAGCTATTCCCGAATGATCTCACAATATCGCTCCCCGCTGACGACGTCTCTACCCTTGCTTCGTCACGCACAGCATGCTACACCGAAAGTCAGGCAAAAAGAGCGGTAGACATCGTTGTTGGCTGGAGTATGCGATGGAAACTTATTCTGAAAGGCTTGAAGAGCGAGACTACATTCTTCACGCTCTCAACATCTGACGCAAAATGGAAGCCAAACATCACGATTCGACAATTAAGTATGAGCCCCACACAAGACTACGAGGGGTCACACTCGACCGCAGGCTCGCGTTCAGCAAACAGGGTAAAACAGTAATAGCCGAGGCCACGCAGAAGATGAGGATGCTCGACGACTTACGTAAGGTTTTCCTCACCAATAAAGTGTCCTCAACTTTGCGAGCAGTAGCTGGCAACTGTGGCTGAGCAAAACTCCGATAAATAATCTGGAGGTAATTCAGAACAGATGTCTGCGACTGAAATCACCACCCAGGCCCAGTCCTCACCCATTGAGGCACTTCGAGCTGAAACGGGGATCCCAGCATTGAGTCCACCATTAATGCTAACCGCCTCCGATCAAGAGAGAAGGCTCTGCGAATGAACAACAACCACCCCGGTGAACTGCAGCAACGGAACAAGTGCACAGACGCCCAAAGAGACGCAGAGAGGGCCGAAGACGCCAGCAACAAGAACCAACATCTATTCAGTTGCGAGAGAAGGCTCATTAGTTATTTCGACACAAGGCCGTGGGAACAGGGAATCAATCCTGTCATCGTTTTCCCCCACCTGTACGGCATAAGCGGAAGGAGTGACTCCAATACAAAGATCTTAAGCACTGCTCTTTGTCGGACACGAGAACTTGGCGCACCTTACAATATTTACACTAACGACTTGGAGAGTGCAGGAACCACGGATGGCGGCGCGGCGGTCATTATCACAACAGGGGACCCGTCCAACCAGACCGTTGTCAAGACACTAAAGGAGCAAGGGGCTCTATTCATGTGCTCGTTCGAGGAAGAGAAAGGAGCCTTGGAAATAGCCATTGACTAGATCGATCAACTGTGTGATGTATACAACTCGGTCACTATCCTCACTGAACGTCAGTCGCTATGCATGGCTCTCATGGGAACATCGCCACACATGCGACTACGCATATATAATACAGCCCCCCAACTAACGATCCTGTGGATCGCAGGTGAAAGCGAGATCCTCGGCAACGACGTCGTTGATAGTAAAGACAAACAGGCAACAGCCCTGCCGGGCCCAGGCCGCCAAATTGCATATGGAAGTGCGTGCTTCCAGATAAAACTGATTTCCAAAGACACTCAGATATCTCACACACTGGCGAAGGAAGTATACGAGACAATATCCTTAAAGCAGGAGGCGCAAATTAAGTCCCGAGGAACCCCCAGTGGGTCGGGGGGGATATAAATAGACCCACTGCTCCGCCAGCAGGAGGTGCAACCCCTTCACTGGTGATTTGTCGCCCATGGACATCTACGCTCAGGTGCACATAGGCGACACTTACTTTGGTGTATCGTCTGTCTTATATCGTCTTTCTTCCTTCTTCTTTCGTCCTTCCCCAAGCTGACCGGGGAATAAAATAAATAAAAATAGTTGGCTGTTCCATCAACAGGGGGTGTAATCCCCCCCCCCGCTAGTGGGATGCCACTCGTACATCACTAGCTCTCTGACGTAGGGTAGGCATCTTTTGTCCGCTCTTGCTATGTCTTCTATCCATCTATCTTTCTTTCCGTTCTGTTGACCGAAGGTCCGGTCCAGCAAAGAATAGATCCCAAATCCCCGCAACGCGAGGCACCCTGCTGACCGGAGAAGGGGACCCTGGTGGCTGAGGTGTGGCTTCCCTCACCAACACGCCACTTTGGCCCTAGATTCGGTCTAGACGGGCGGGTGCAGTGGCCTACTGCATTCAATCGATTGCGACCGGTTCATAGAACCGGTTTTTGGCCAATCTTGGTTAGAAGGCAAGATGTCTTGCCGTCTGATTGGGAGTACACCTCCAGGGTAGCCCTGGCACCAGCTATGGACATCCGAGCGGTGTCCCCTTGTTGGACTTGGTGGCGGGTGGGGAGCCCTGGAGATGAATAAAAAACAAAATACACATGGATTCAATCAAAAACATTTCTCCCACCCCAATTCCCAAAAAGTCCCAGACAGGAAAGCAGGTGCAACTCCTGGCCTGGGCAAGAGAAAGAAGGGCCTTTCGGGCGAAGATGCTGACCATGTCAGCATCTGGGACTTACCAAAAAGAACATATTTGGGGTGGTCACCATTTCTGGTGATCTCCCCAAAAGATGAAAAACAAGATACAAATCTCACTACACTAAGATACACAAGTCCCTAAAACATTTCGGTATACATAAACCAAAATACATTTAAAAAACCTAGGATCCACGGACCTCCTGATACAGGTCAGTTCGAGTACAGAATCAGGCAAACTGTTGCCCTGCACCTCGTTTGGTGGCATCTCTGTATGTGTTCAGCCTCACAGAAGTCTGAACACATCCAAGGGTGTCATCAACAGCCGAGAGCTCTGCGGCTGTACGGAAGAAGAGATGGTTCAGGAGGTCGATGGAATTGTCCATGCTCGTCGTATCAAAATACGGCGGGATGGCAAGGAAATCTGTACCAACACGTGGATCCTTACCTTCAACACACCCACACAACCGACAAAATTAGAAATTGCATACTTAGAACTCGAAGTAAGACCATATATACCGAAACCGATGCGCTGTTTCAACTGTCAGCGCTTCAGACACACACACAGATGCGCTGTAGTCGTGGTGCAGTGTGTCCTCGCTGCCGCAAGGAAGGACACTCGGGGGAGACCTGCTCTGCAGATCCCTGGTATCCAAATTGTCGACAGGGGGG